GGTTGAAAGAGCCAATGGCTGGCTATTTTGCTTTTCTGACCTTCAGGTTGAACCCCAATTTCTCCCTCTGAGTTTTTATCGACTGTGCTTCAAAGAAAGGCTTGTTAATGTATAGTGTGGAAGAAAGCTGACTGCCATGTGACATTTGCAGTCTCTTCTGGTCAATATTCTTGTGAGGACACCCTGGTGAGACTCTCTTGAGCAGGTGGCCGTGCTTAGGAATGTCACCCAGGCTGAAGAAATTCTCAACAGAATCTATACACTAACCTTCTCATTCACATTTGGGGAGATGGCTCTAGTCCCTTGAAATGTCAATAAGACAGAATCCAGAAATTCATATTTGACCTCCATAGAGCAAAAGACCAAGGACCCAATTTTGGCCTGGGTTCCAACAGTGAAATTCAGCTTTCATTTTAACGTTCAATATTGCTCCTTCTTCTCTCTGAGATTTTTTTCACAAGAAATCTGCAAAATTTCCATTTATAAATCTTTGCCAAGCTAAGAGGGTTGAACTAGCAAACTGAACTTGATCTTGTGAGGATGAGCAAGTTTGAGTCCAAATTCAGCAGTCCTATATACCTATCAAGATTTATTGCCTATTTATGACCACGTTTGCAGGGACAGAGGTTTAACAGCCCGTTTTACCAGAAACCATGCAGACCCAAATAGTGTGGTTTTGACAATGTTTATATTGAAAAGAGATATGTGATTCTTCGATGCTGCTCTGGAATGGAGTGACCACATGCGAATGTGTTTTTCATAAGCTTAGAGGCTGCTAAATGTGACAAGGGGGTTGTTGGTTGGCAAATGAGGAGCAAGGTTGAAGTCACACCTAGTCAATAACAAAGGGCAGCCAGAGTCTTGGCTCAGAGCACCTTGCACTAATGCCGACCGCACCCAGGACAGGGAGCACAAAGGGCGATGTGTCCAGGGGATGCATACTGCACAGCAGCCATGCTCACAGTTGGTGGAAACTGAGGAGAATTATAGAGTTTGGTGTAGATGGAAGTTTCTGTCCCACCTGATCCCTTAGCCATTCAGTCCCAAAGAAACACACAGAGGCTTATATTAATTATAAACTGTTTAGCTTATTGTTCAGGCTTATTACTAACTAGCTCTTACAACTTAAATTAACTCATAATTCTTATCTATGTTTAACCACATGACTTAGTACCTTTTCTCAATAATATATTACCACCTTGTTTCCTCTGCATGTGACTGGTGACTGCCTCTCTGCTTTCCTTTTCCCAGAATTCTCCTAGTCTGGTTGCCCCACCTATACTTCCTGCCTGGCTCCTGACCAATCAGTGTTTTATTAAACCAATACAAGTGACAAATCTTTACAGTGTACAAGAGCATCATCCCACAGCAATTTGGGCTCATCCCTGCCCTCTCCTCATCTGTATTCTATAACCTCACAGGGAGTATCAGTAGTTATACCAAGAAGAACTGGTCAGCATCCTGCCAGTTACCTTTCTTATGAGACACGTCTAGCATGATGTATTGCTACTCAATACCCATTGGTACTCAACACCCATTCTACCCTTCTTCTTATACACCTGCTTGAGTTGTAGGGCCTAGAACTATATTCAGTTTCCTGAATGCTCCGGCAACTACATCATCATGTACATGCTCATCTTGCCCAATCAGATTCAAGCATGGAATTCAATACGAGGAAGGTAGAAGGAATGCCTTGTTGACTCTCACTTCTGATAAACCTGGCCTTGAAGGCATTTAGCTTCTGCACAGCAACTTCAGTGTCTTGGCTTCATGGGTGTCAGGAATAGGAGACATCCACCTGGCTAGTGTTTGTCACAGTGGATGTGGTTGCTCTCTAGTGTTGGTGGGGACCCTGGTGTCTTTGGATTGCAGGAGTCAGTGGCTCCCATCAGCACTTGTCAACTTAAAACCTGCTTCTTCGGCCTTCTCAATAATTCTCTAAAAACATTTTGACATTTGGGGAAGTAAAGAAAACTGTACTCATTTAAATAGTGTGCAACTCTGTTCTCTGTGAATAAGACTTGAATGGATGACCCTAGAAAGGTCAGATAAGAATAACACATGTGTTGATCACTCACTGTGAGTTAGAAAGTAGAATTGGCGATCTATGTGACTTCCTCACTTTAATCTTTAAGGGAATGGAGGGGGGCAGTTGGGTTACTTTTTCAAGCCCTGCATCAGTGAGAGCCTAGTATAGAAGAGTGATAAAACTTTGATGTCCAACGTGCTTCCAGAAGTGCTTCTTTAGGACACGAACACACTGAGTGAAAGCTGACAGAACAATTCTTTCCATTTTCAAGAAGCTTGCAGGTACAATATTGTGTGGTTTTGGACAGCCAAAGGTCATGGAGTAAACTTAGAAGATTATGCTCTTTGACATTGGTATGACAAAAACAAGGTGTTTACAGCATCAAAGGCAGATGTCATCAGACAGAGTCACCCACATTTCAGTTCCTCTCAGTTCTTCTCCCTTAAGCTACCCATGTGGCTGAGACACTGCATTCAAGGGAAACCTTGAAGGACATTTATACTTGAAGTAGACTTGGACCCCTAAGACTCAGTGCCCGGAAGCAGATGGGAAACAAGTGCCTGTGAGCACCTGTTCATCTCCACCTTGATCCCATAGCTGGATCAGAAGTCAGATTCCAGTGGGACCACTACCCTTGGGAGGAGCTCCGAGTTGCAGGTGAACAGCCCTCCCAAGTCTGCCATCTTGAATTCTTGACCTTTCGTTTCCACAGACCTCATTCTCCACTCCCAAGGAGTTACCTGGTATCTAGACAGGCAATACCTCTAATGCTTATAATACAGTTACAGATTGGGACACAATTTCAGAACACAGCCGTTCTTCCTTCCTCGTGCCTCCTCATGGCTCTCCTCAGGCCTCTCTGTCCACTGTTCGCTTGCCCTGGTTTCAACCCTTTTTCCCCCTTGTTTCATTTTCCTGCATTGTCAGCTTAGGTTCAGCAGTTGATTCAGACATTCTCCTATAGCATTCTAAACCCCATTTTCCCTCCATTGCTGTCATGGCAGAGGCAACATAAATACCAACTATATCCCATGGTCTGTCTTCTTCGCTACATGACCTTGAGTTTCCTAAGCATCAGAATTCATGTCTAGACTGAAGGGTTGCCATCATGCAACCCCCTCCCATCACCACACAGCACCCCCTCTCCTTTCCACACAGTACCCCCTCCCCTCCCCACACAGCACCCCCTCCCCTCACCACACAGCACCCGCTTCCCTCACCACACAGCACCCCCTCCCCTCACCACACGGCACTCCCATTTCGCCTGTCCACTATGTCTCCTCACTGAGTTCAAATTTCTGTTCACCACAGAGATTAAGTCTCACATTCTACTCAAGATCTCCCTATTTCTACCCTCCTTGCTCTCCGCAGGTGAGAGAGAAGCAGAAGCTTGGTTGGAAGGGAATGCTGATTGGAACTTCTTTCCTTCATGTTCAAAAGGGGGAGGCTGGGGCTGGAAGGAAGGCTCACTGGTTAAGAGCACTCGTAGATCTTGTGGAGGACCAGAGTTCAAACCCTAGCACCTAAGAGGAAAAAGCCATTCTCAACCAAGGAATTGAACAGAAACAAGATGAGTCCTGTACTTGGTACGGGATAAAGATCACCAGGCTAAGAGAAAGAGAATCGAAGGGAGAGTTAACTTAGATAATCGTGTGTGGCTGGAATCCTCTACCACCCACAACCCCACTCCAACTTACACCCCTCTGGGGCGGGGGGCACCACACTGACATGAGGTAGGCAGGCCTTCAGGCATTTGGGAAAGTCCTCTCCTGTCTTGGTGTCACCTTGGGGTCTTTCCCAACGGAATGAGGACAGCTCAGCAGCAACCTTTGTTGCCTGGAAGGTTAGTACACAATTCTACAGACATCAGCCTGCTCTCTGGGGCTTGGCCTGCCACCTTCGTTTGCTGCCTCATGGGCCATGCCTCATGGGTCCTTGGGAAAGAAGAGTCTCCTATGTTTATGAAGAGTTGGTTTCTGCCCTTGCTTGCTTCAAAATAGACATTGAATTAAGAAAGAAGCTAAATAAAGTAGCTGTTCATTTTGGATGCTGGAGTGGATGACTGATATCCAGAAGACTGAGGTGATACCCACATGGTAGACAAAGGATGTAGACTCCCATAAAAGACTACACTAGTCTGGAACTTTATTTTGTCTGGAGACATAAGGACTGCGTTAAATCTAAAAAGAGGGTCAGTACTTAGTGCTAGAGGAATACCTTGTTGTACCAAGTCAGGCTTCCTACTATTTGGGTATCAGAGTTATACATGGTTGGGAGGGGAGCAGGACTAGAAATAACAAGGTCAAGTCTGAGAAAATAAATCCAGAAAGGTGATCAGGAAGGGTGCCTCTAAGGTATACTCTGGCCTCAGTCATACTCGAAGAAATCTTCCTTACTCTGAACTTGTGCCTTCCAACCAGAAGACACCCTAATCCCTCAACCCATAGCCAATTTAAGAGCATAGTGCCATATAAAAAGAAAGAAAGAAAGAAAGAAAGCACCTGTCACAAGTTCAGAATGCTGACCCGACCAATTAAACTTTGATTCTTGTCTTAGTTTTATTTCCTATTGCCATGATGAAAATACCCTGGCAGAAACAGGGAAGGGCTGATCTGGCCCACAGTTCTAGGTTATGGCCCAGGATTTTCTGGAAATTCACTCAACAGGAACTTGAAGCAGCTAGTCACATCCAGTCAAGAGCAGAGAGGAAGCGAAAGCATGCCCACTAGTACTGGGCTCACTCTCTCTGCTCTTCCAGAGTTCAGGACCCCCTGCTTACAGATTGATGTCACCCACAGTGGGGAGGTCGTTCCACCTCAATTAATACAGACAAGCTGATCCTCCACGGACACACCCACAGGACAGCCCGGTCCAGACGATCTCTCACTGAAACATCCTTCCCAAGAGATCCTAGACTCTGTCAAGCTGACAGTCAGAACCAGCCATCACCCCTCACCAGCAGGCCACTTACTCAGTGCTCAGGTGACTCACTGCAATGGAAGAACCAGGGACCAGGTAAGGCAGGAGAATAGAATAGGGTCTCGGCATTCAGCCACATTCCTGTGTGCAAGCAGCCTACCTCCTGGTCTCCCTTTTTTTCTGGATTTCTGCAGACTGGGGAAGTCAGAGATGGAAGAAGGATCGATGAGATTCCTTAAAGCTAAAACTCTGCTTTTTATTTCATACACAGCCTAGCTGCAGAGGAAGAGGAGCTTGACCACACAGGCCCCTCCTCTGCCTCCAGGTCGTCCCAGTGATGATGGCCCCAGCCTCTTGTCCCATGGAACACTGCTCCTTTCTGCTCTCTTCTCGGCTATCTAGACTTCTCCCACCCCCTTCCTACTCTTGTTGGTAAAATGCTTGCAGAATAGGCCCTAATGTCCTCCGGTTTCAGAGAGCGCACCCACAAAGGCTCTATTTCTTTGGTGAAAGTAATAGACATTTAAGCAAAATCACACAAGGTCTGAGTCGTGTGGTCCCATTTTGTGAAAACAGTTCCCCCTGGCAAACCATTTCCTCTTCCTGTCAGCATCCAGGTAACACAGGTCCACACCCCTGGCCTTGGTAATTCATCTACAGACCTGCAGAGCCTGCGGCACCCGGGCATTCTCCGCAAAGCTCTAAAAAAAAAAATCGAAAAGGAATCAACAAGTCAAGCTACAAGGCTACCTTGGCAAAGAGAGACGTATTAGTGAGGCTTATCACTACTGAGTGAGCCCTAAACACAATACTTGTTCTAACCACAAACCCTGCAAGGCACGGCCACTCCCAGATACTTCCTTTTCTTTCCTCCCTGCAGCCTCTCCCCCTCCTCCACCAACATCTTTTTTTTTTTTTTTTAAGCATTGCACTTGGAATTTTTTGCTCCTATTATAGTTTGGATTTTCCCCCCTATTCTTCAGACAGTAACTGTATCAAAACTTCACACGAGCTCCAGGCTCCTCTTTGCCCAGGCAGCGTAATGGTTCTATTCCAACCGACTCAATCTACTCAGCTGATATCTGAAATGGTCCGACACCCACTTCATTAGCATCAAGGGCTAATTTCGTTTGAAAGGAGTTGAAAGCAGCCAGGACTTAGATTCTGGGGTTAATTGGTCTGTTTGCCACTGTTTGTCAGAACTCAATTGAAAGAACATCTTCAAAGCCCGCCTGTGATACTGGCTCCCACACTGTCTGAAATGCTTCAGATGTCTTTATCAATGCCAAAAATGCAGCGAGTGAAACGGCCTTTTTCCTCAATTATTTCTGCAAACCCGAAGAGGGGAATCCATGTAGATAGATAATGAGAATTGACACAGTCAAATTAAAATGCATGCTCAGACAAGAGCTCCGCTCTTCCAACGGTGAGCATCGCGAGATTCCACCTGCCCTAGCTCACTGCCCTCAGCCCAAGGAATTAGGCAATCCTGGAAGCTTTCTGTCTTCTTGTCTCCCAGAATCTTTTCTATCCTAGAACCCCAGCCGATTGGAGTCCACCAGTTACTTAGCAACAACAGGACCAATTGGATTTGATTTTAAAATGTCAACATCTGCATTGTGTTCAAAGTTATTTTTTAATTCAAAAATTTCTGTCTGGAGACAGGGAAAGAAACGTGTGCGTATTTAAAAACAAAATTGCAGTTCCTGGTAGAGCTTCCTCTTAGCCGCAGCCCTAGGTGAGCCGTAGACTCCGTGGCTGCTGTTCAGAAACCCAAATCTACACTCATAGTTCCCTTTTCTTCTGGACACAGAGAGAAGTAGAAAGGGGGAATAACGTGGGTCATCCACCTAGGAATCCAGCAGAAAAGAAAAAAAAAGACCCCTCACTTTACAACAAATAGGGGTGCTTCGGGCCAAATAGAAGGTCTATCTCAGCCTCCATTTTATTAAAAACTGCAATTATGGATCTGGGCTTACAGGCATCAGATGGGCAGCCAGCAGAAGTGAATGGGCTACCATTCTGTGCTGGGTTATATCATGGCTATTGCCGAGCAGTGGTGGCGTACAACTTTAATCTCTGTGGATCTCTGTGAGTTTGAGGACAGCCTGATCTACAGAGTGAGTTCCAGGACAGCCAGGGCTACACAGAGAAACCCTATCATGAAAAACGAAAAAGATATCGTGGCCACTTCTTCCTCACGTCTCCCCAAACCAAACTACAACCCCCAAATGAAACTGGACAAGTCAGCTGGCAGAGAAACTGGGATAGCCCACATCTAATAAAGTTAACTTTATATTGTCTACAAGTAGCTCACCTTTTAAGGCCTTTGGCCCCCATTACACAAAAGCCTTCTCTCCCTGGGGTGGTGTATTGGGCCTGCTATGCTTTGGGAATCAGGACGTGGAGTTTTTGCCACTGTTAAAACTCCCTGGTGTCAATCTGTTTGTGTGCTGTTTGGGGGGGAAGTGAAACAGAAACCCCCACAGGGAAATCAGATTTGGAAAGCTCACCAGCAAAGGCAGCCCCAGCCTAGCACCTTTCTGTAAGACATCCAAATGGGCTGCAGACTGATGCTATCACGCCACTGGCCTCTGCCGCAATGAACACATTAGCTCGCCTGCCTTCCATTCTAGAGGTCAGATTACCTGCCGGAGAGGAAAGGAAACACTAAATCACTGGATGTAAGGAAAACTAGCCAAGAGGGAGCTAAGCAAGGAGGGGCAATAGAGGCTTGCCATCTAGGGTAGGGTCTCCTGTCTTGAAGGAGTGTGAAGTGTGTTAGCTAAAAAGAACTGCAGGACGGAAAAGGGGCCAGAAACAAAAACACATCAGCACATTTGACTCACCTCTCAGCAGAACACCCAGGCCCTGGTGAGGCTCAGGCCATTCCTTTCTTCCCCAGAGCAGAGACCTGATTCCTGTTATCTTCGCTTCCACAACTACAAATGTTATCGTTACTTCCCCACTGATAGGGCTCTGTTTTACACACACAATAGAAGACTGTACCACACTTGCCCTCCCACCAGAAGGGACTGGCTTAACAGGAGGAAGGGAGGGAGGGAGGGAGGGAGGGAGAGAGAGAGAAAGAGAGAGAGAGAGAGAGAGAGAGAGAGAGAGAGAGAGACTGGGGACTAGACTAGCAGAAGCCCAGGATATTAAAGGAGCCTTTTCCGAAAGAACTGTGATAGCTCGCACATAGGTACATACACACATGCATCTAAAAAGCCACAGCTAAAGCTAAGCATTGAGCGGGTGTCATGTCAGAAAGAGTGACTTATTTATTTCACTGGTTCGTTTCCTCCCTCCCCCAGATTCCCAATATGCTTTGGGCTCAGATCTTTAAATGTGAGGAACAGAAGCCTGAATCACGACGAACAAGAATCAGTTATAAGTATGACAGTGGCATATCCCTGGCCTCCGAAGAGCCCCGTCTGCTTGCCCAGACTGCAGACACTTTTTCCATCCAAAAAAAAAAAAAAAAACCCAGAGGGCTTAAAGTGGGGTCCCCTGCAGCCAACCTGCCCTGCTTGCCTGCCACCTGTGGGGGCAGAAGGAAACCTGATCATGGATCTTCTCCAAACCGGAGCAACCCAGATGCGCGCACAAGCACACACAAACACCTCAAGTCATAGTCAGGAGCACAGAAAATAAGGCTTACTGAATGTGCTGATCCCATCTCTCAAACCTGACTTCTGTTAATTCTCTTTCTTTCCTCTATTTTTCTTCTGGGATAGTATCAAAGTTCTTGAGTGCACCCATCTAGGCCTGAGCAGAAAATATAGATAGGGGTTGTGGCAGGCCTGCTCCCCAAGGCCACTATCTCCCGTGCAGTTACGAGTAGGACTCTCTGCCCTGTGACATTCTGGCATGCATCTGTTCCTTTGTCACACTGGAGCTCAGCACCACAAGGACTTAGCATTTAGCACTACAGTAACTAAACACTATGAAGGCTCAGCACTGTAACACAAACCAACCTTTGCTTTGGCTTCGCTCTTGTTTAACCCCTCCTAGAACCTGGGTGCACCATCGTGCCCAGCTTCACATTCTTGCTTGTTTTAAGACAATATTGTTAAGATTTACTTCATTTTTAGTTATGTGTACGAGAGTATGTCCATGTGTGTCTATGCATGTAAGTGCAGGTGCCATTGGGGTCCAGAAGAGGGAGACAGATCTCCTGGAGCTAGAGTTTAAAGGTAGTTGTCAGCTGTCCAGTGCAAGTGCTGGGAAACAGACTCCAGTCCTTGGGAAGAACAGTACTTGCTCTTAATTACAGAGCCGCCTCTCCAGAGCCCCTAAAATGGCATTTTCTTTCTTTTTGAAGTCTAATTCACATGCCCTACCATGCATCCTTTTGGACTCGTCACAGAGACGAACATTCATAATCCCAGCACCTAAGAGGTTCAGACCAGAGAATCGGGACTTCAAAGCCAGTCTTAGTAACGGGATAGCAAACACAATGAGTAAATCACCTTTGACCAACGAGGGCAAAGGCACACAGATTTCTGTGAGTTCCAGGCCAATCAGCGCCACTCAGAGACTGTCTCAAAAGACAAAAACAACACACACACACACACACACACACACACACACACAAAACAAGTGTGTTTTTAGTGCACTTGTGAAGGTATACGGTTGGCCCAATCCCAGGATACTTCACCCACTATGGCAAAGCCCTGCTTGCTACTTCTTCTGAATTATCTTCTAAAGAGGATTTCGAGTTCTATGGCCTGTAACTTGTTTATAATTTAAACTCACCCCTGGATTTTGCCAACCCCAGAAGGCCAGACTCCTACAGATCACTGGGCAGCCAGTTCCCATCTGAACAAGGTCTCCAGGAAGAGAAGGTGCAGATCCCTCCTCCAACTCGGATCCCCTAACCTTCCTGAGAGATCGGGTAAGTCAATTTGTCTTCTTTCTTAGCCCAACCCACCCCCAATCCTGAAAAAAGTGGGACTCGGCAACCTATCACTTTATAGATTTCCCCTTTCAAGTTTCAAAGATTTGCTACTTCGCTCCACTGAATTGTGTCATCCTTCCCTAAGGCTGAGGAGAGGCAGAGGTGACTGCCACTCCATAGGTCACAGGGCAAAAGGAAGTAATGGTTTCCCGGGTAGAGGCTAACTCCTCCAGTTTCTCCTGTGATGTATTAGAAACTGCAGGCACTGCTCAGGGGCCTCCCACACAGAGGTGTGCCAGAGTAATACCCTTTCTCTACATAAGAAAAACTGAGAAAATAACTTAAAAAAATTAATCATAAAACTTCTGATCGGCCCAACATGCCAATAGCAGGTAAGACCAAATACTACAGCTACAAGGATGGGTCTGAGGGTTGAGCCTGACACAAAAGTTTTAATTTAGGTCTCTGGTCATCTTTATACTCTGAACTTCGGTTCACTCTGCCAAACAGGCAAGCTAATTTTAACAGACCAGGGAACTCACCTTTAGCGAGATTTCACTCTTCCCTCAGTGCTTCATGCAATTTCTGCTTTCATTTCATCTAAATTAAAAACGGTTTGATTTAATATTTTTTTTTAGTTCATCTAGTTAAAACATTGAGGAGATGGCAGAATCTGGAAGGAGGAAAAGGAAAGAGAGAAATGGTGTAATTATAATCTCCAAAAGCAAAAACATCTCTTTTAAAAATGTGAGGGGGGCAGCAAGTTGGCTCAGTGGGTGGAGACACCTGTTGCCAAGCCTGACAACCTGAGTTTGATCCTGAGTCCCTGCAACTCCTGCAATATCTAGGCAACCGTTGATTTCTATGCACATGTGTGCCCATGCAAATGCCCATGCAAATGCACACAAATAAACATAGAAATAAACTTAAAATGTAAAAAAAAAAAAATTAAACAGTGGGTAAAAGTTGAGTGGTGAATAGGGCACAGAAAATCTCGGAATCCCCCTTACAGCGGCCAAGGCTGGACACATTGGGGTCACTCATTGTCTTGAAAGAAGGTCACCTACACTGGGGAGAAAGCAAGGAAGCCAGTGCATTCCAGTGATCTGTGTCAACAAGGCTGGGGGGAGGCAAATCTAAGTTTGGAGCTATCAGTTAATTGATGTGGGATTCCCCTCTGTATGCTGTGAATATCATTGGTTAATAAAGGAACTGCTTAGGGCCTATAACAGAGCTATAGGGGAACAGAGCCAGGTGGAGAAAACTAAGCTGAATGCTGGGAGAAAGGAGGCAGAGTCAAGGAGAAGCCATGGATCCACCGCAGGAGACAGACATGCTGAAACTTTGCTGATAGGCCACAACCTCATGGTGATGCACAGATTAAAAAAGATGGGTTGAATTAAGATGTAAGAGTAAGCCAATAAGAAACTAGAGCTAATGGGCCAAGCAATGATTTAAATAATACAGTTTCTGTGTGATTATTTCGGGGCTAAGCAGCCTGGAACTAACTAGTGGCCTCCCTGCTACAGTTAATGGTGATGTTGGTGACTTGGTAAACAACCAGGAGATTGGGCAGATCCCCGGTGCCACTGTTGAACAGTTTACATGCAATAATTGCTACCACTTAGGAGATGAGGGAACCCTGTTAAAGAGGTTAGACTATTTTATCAGGGCCGTACAACTAGATATTGAAAGTGAAGAACTTCTACCCCATCTGCCTTTGGGCTCTGTTTTCCTAGGCAGTTCTAGGGCAGCCTAGGCTACAGTATGAGAACCTATCTCAAAAATAAACAAACGGGGCAACTACTTTAATTATCTCACTGAGAAAAATGCATCCCTGCCTTACACCAGAAGACCAGAAGAACTTCATTTGTAGCAACAGTTAAACAGAGTGTTGAAACCATAGGCACAGGATAGGATGTATCAATGTGATGAAGCAGTAACACTGTTTCAGGATCACCTAGTAACACTGCTCTGGGAGGCTCCTGTAACACCTCACAGGTCCTAGCAGACTGGAACTCTTCACAGATTACCTCTGTTCCTGTACAGAAAACAAGACTATTTAAAAAGCCAAAGGACAGATGAAAAACATATTATAGACACACAGCCCCTTAACTTCATAAATATCTCCTATCAAATAAATACCAGACGTGCAACAGAGAATCTAGGTGAAGGCGATGAAAGGGCTGCAGTAAAGAAGTGATAAAAGTCCTGACAAAATTCCTAATGAAAGCAAACAGGGTAGTTGGCAGAGGTCTGCATGGATTAGTAAGAGTGTGGGCAAACACATTCTGAGTCAGAGCTGCAGGGCAGGCATGTCCTGTCAGCCTCCAGCGGGAGCAGTTAGGCAGCCAATGCTTGACTCCGCAGCCTTACCTTCAGGGATTTAATACGCGCGTGCTTACATATGTAGGAAGTGGTTACACGTGCACGTTGTTGTCTCTTTGTTCTAAGTAAGAAGGGTTGGAAGTAAATCAAATAACATAATAGGAAGAAAACTGGTTAATAGACTCTGGAACAGAGGGGTGTTGAGTGTGTGTGTGTATGTGTGTGTGTGTGTGTGTGTAAGAGAGATAGAGAAGGAGAAAGAGAGATGTATTTGTATATGATGTAGTATGCTTGTGAGTGACATATGTGATGTGTTTGTGTGTGTGATTAGCTTGTGTGTATTTGTGGTGTGCTTGTGTGTTGTGTGTGCATGATACGGTATGCTTGTGTGAGAGACGTTCTTGTGGATGATGTGGTGTGTGATGTTCTTTTGTGTGATGTGCTTATGCTGGGTGCTTGTGTGTGTATTGCATTTTTCTGTGTTACGTGGTGTCCTTATGTGGTGTGCTTGTGTATGATGTCATGTATGTGTGATGTGCTTGTGTGTGTGTGAGTTATGTGATGTGCTTGTGCATGTGATGTGGTGTTTTGTGTGTGTGTGTGTGTGTATGTGTGTGAAGTGCGGTACACGTGTTTGGTGTATGTTTTTGGTTTGGTGCATGTACATGAGTGTCCTGGTACAGGCATCTATACACGCACATGTTAAGGCCAGAGCAGGATTCAGGTCATTTCCTCTATCACTCTCTGCCTCATTGCCTTGAACAGGGTTTCTCACAGAGACACAAGCTCACCATTTCTGATGGGCTGCTGGCCAGCATGCGTCTGGAACCTATGCATCTATACTTTTCCTCTGTCTTTATTCATTTTGGAGTTACACAGTGTCTTAGTTAGGGTTTCTATTGCTACAATAAAACGCCATGACCAAAAAGGCCAGTTGAGGCGGAAAGGGTCTATTTCTCATACACCTCCATA